TTTGGGTTTTATGTTGGATATAATCCTATCATCAGCATCCGAACTGTGTAGTCGTTGTCGACAATATGCACTCCAACTCTTTCATAGCGTCGTCAGGGGTTCCACAAGGCAGCATCTTAGGCCCCCTGCTATTTGTCAGTTTTATTAATGACATATCGAGTTGTTTTGTTAGCTCTAATTTCCTTTTATACGCTGATGATTTGAAGATTTTTTCGACCATTTCAAATTCTTCAGACTNACTAAATTAGCTAGTTTGGGTTTTATCTTGGATAAAATCCTATCTTCAGCATCGAAACTGTGTAGTCGTTGTCGACAATGTGCACTCCAACGCTTTCATAGCGTCGTCAGGGGTTCCACAAGGCAGCATCTTAGGCCCCCTGCTATTTGTCAGTTTTATTAATGACATATCGAGTTGTTTTGTTAGCTCTAATTTCCTTTTATACGCTGATGATTTGAAGATTTTTTCGACCATTTCAAATTCTTCAGACTCCATTAAGATTCAATCAGACCTTGACAATGTCTCAGCCTGGTGTCGAACCAATGGCCTTGAGTTAAACATAAGTAAGTGTTTTCATTTATCCTACTCCAAATCGCGTCGCGTTATCCCCACTTCTTATTGTATTGCTGGTACCCGTCTATCTGCTCTTAATGAGATAACTGACTTAGGTGTAGTTTTTGACTCGAGATTTTTATTTAATAGTCATCTAAATTACACCATTGCTAAGTCATATTCAGTGCTTGCTTTTATTCGTCGATTTAGTTCAGATTTCACAGATCCTTATACTCTTAAGTTACTGTTCACATCACTGGTACGCTCTAAGTTGGAATACGATTCTTTTATCTGGAGACCGTATCATGGGTGCCATATTAATAGACTCGAGGGGGTTCAAAAAACGTTTTTACGCTTTGCTCTGGGGTCGTTGAATTTCGCCGACCCTATTCCCTCATATAAAGCCAGGTGCGCTTAATTGACTTGAAATCTCTTCAAAGCGGAAGAACTATCCTTTCGCTCACCTTTGTCTTCGATATTATTAAGGGTGTAATTGATCCACCTTATCTCCTCGAGCGCATTTGTTTCCATATCCCTAACCGGACTCTCCGAAATAGTGATATTTTTTATACAGAATGTGTCCGAACTCTTTACGCTTCTAATGCTCCAATTTTTCGAGCTCTGACTGAGTTCAATAGGGATTCCACAAGGCAGCATCTTAGGCCCCCTATTTAAACTCGACAGCGTGGTTGTTGTTGTCAATTCTATACATCCATTTGCTTATTTGCTTTTTTGTATAGTTTCAGGCAGGCTCTTCCTAAACTATGTATTTGTCAATGTTATTGTGGCTTATTATCATTTTATTTTTAATATTTTTATTGAGTTTTGTACCACGATTGTTTATTAGGAAAAATTGAAAAAGGAACAAAGTCTAAGCGGTAGAAGTTATAGCAGCTATTTCGGAGATCACCACATCTCCTCATCAGACTTCTTTTTTTTAGACTTCAGCAGGGATCGAACCTGCGTAATCGATGTTCAAAGTCTGCACGGACATTCGTCGACAGTCATTCCGTTCGTCTCCCCGCCTCCACCCGCTTTGGATGAAAAGCAAACTGCTTCGCCTAATATATGAAGCATCTTACAATATATTTTCAAAATGTATCCGGCCTGCGGACTAAATCTATCTCGCTTTTCAATATGAGCTCTTATGCTGAATATAACATTTTTGTCTTGATAGAAACCTGGCTGAATTCGGAGTTTTTTGACAGCGAATTTTTCGACGCTTTGCGTTTATTGCAAAGATTGGGACTACTCCAAATTCGGCCTCTCGAGAGGAGGTGGGGTTCTCATCGCTGTTCATCGTCAGATTCGGTCATCGCTTGTAAGTTTGAGCAACACGGACTCCTTGTTGAATCAATTCTGTGTCTCGGTGCTTGACAGCTCCAGAACTTTTATCTACGCGTCATACATCCCTCCGTCTAGTGTTGACACTCTACAAATCGCACGTTGACAACGTTGTCGATCTCATCTGTAATCATGACAGTGATAATTTTTGCATTTTCGGAGACTTTAATTTACCGAACGTGGAATGGTCATACTTAGACAATAGTTCAACTTTACTTCCTTAATTTGTGAACGGTTTTTCTGAATCGTATCTTGTCGACAACTTCTTAAGTGTTAATCAATCCCAGATAAATAGTCTCACTAATTCTAGAACTAGATAAATATCTTCACTATTCGAGAGAGTTTAAAACGTTAGGTAAAATACTTCAGAGCAGGTATGTTCGTAATTTCGAGTCGGATATCAAGGTGAATCCAAAGTCGTTCTGGAACTATGTAACTTCAAAAAAATCGTGCTCTAGTATTCCCTCGAAAGTCTTTTATAATGGGATCCATGCCTCTTCTTCTTCTGAGGCTGCAAATCTTTTTGCTGACTTCTTCCGCTCAAATTTTGTGACACAGTCGGACACCTCTCGGGGTTTTTTTCCAACTGTGGATTCTCCAATTAACTTTGGCAGGCTCTCATTATCTCTTGATGATGTAGTTGATGGCATTTTGCAAATCAAATCCTCATTGCAGACAGATGTTGATGGCTTATCATCGTATCTTCTCAAGAATTGTTTGGCCTTTGCAAACCCACTTCTGTTACTATTCAATAAATCACTTGAGTGTGGCGAGTTCATCGATGCCTGGAAACTTACCTTCATTAGCGCTATACGGCTTTCAATGACCGCCTTCAAGTCGACACTGTATATACAGATCTTTCAAAAGCCTTCGACAAAGTCAGCCATTCAATTTTGATTTCTAAATTAGCTTGTTTGGGTTTTATGTTGGATATAATCCTATCATCAGCATCCGAACTGTGTAGTCGTTGTCGACAATATGCACTCCAACTCTTTCATAGCGTCGTCAGGGGTTCCACAAGGCAGCATCTTAGGCCCCCTGCTATTTGTCAGTTTTATTAATGACATATCGAGTTGTTTTGTTAGCTCTAATTTCCTTTTATACGCTGATGATTTGAAGATTTTTTCGACCATTTCAAATTCTTCAGACTCCATTAAGATTCAATCAGACCTTGACAATGTCTCAGTCTGGTGTCGAACCAATGGCCTTGAGTTAAACTTAAGTGTTTTCATTTATCCTAGTCCAAATCGCGTTGCGTTATCCCCACTTCTTATTGCATTGCTGGTACCCGTCTATCTGCTCTTAATGAGATAACTGACTTAGGTGTAGTTTTTGACTCGAGATTTTTATTTAATAGTCATCTAAATTACACCATTGCTAAGTCATATTCAGTGCTTGCTTTTATTCGTCGATTTAGTTCAGATTTCACAGATCCTTATACTCTTAAGTTACTGTTCACATCACTGGTACGCTCTAAGTTGGAATACGATTCTTTTATCTGGAGACCGTATCATGGGTGCCATATTAATAGACTCGAGGGGGTTCAAAAAACGTTTTTACGCTTTGCTCTGGGGTCGTTGAATTTCGCCGACCCTATTCCCTCATATAAAGCCAGGTGCGCTTAATTGACTTGAAATCTCTTCAAAGCGGAAGAACTATCCTTTCGCTCACCTTTGTCTTCGATATTATTAAGGGTGTAATTGATCCACCTTATCTCCTCGAGCGCATTTGTTTCCATATCCCTAACCGGACTCTCCGAAATAGTGATATTTTTTATACAGAATGTGTCCGAACTCTTTACGCTTCTAATGCTCCAATTTTTCGAGCTCTGACTGAGTTCAATAGGGATTCCACAAGGCAGCATCTTAGGCCCCCTATTTAAACTCGACAGCGTGGTTGTTGTTGTCAATTCTATACATCCATTTGCTTATTTGCTTTTTTGTATAGTTTCAGGCAGGCTCTTCCTAAACTATGTATTTGTCAATGTTATTGTGGCTTNGACTCCATTGGAGGAGTCATGCTCTAGCTGCCGTAGGCTGCTGTGCAATGAGCTGGGATTTATTCAGGGACGCATTCATGCACAGCCCCAGTGTGGCTTGTAAGCCGTAGCTTACTATCATACCAAAAATTACTCCGGGAGTGGAGTGGGAGCGATGCTTAAAGCACCGTGTGATAGCCAAGCTGATTGAGCGTTGACCATGTATTAACTGGGGGACTCCATTGGAGGAGTCATGCTCTAGCTGCCGTAGGCTGCTGTGCAATGAGCTGATATTTATTCAGGGATGCATTGATGCAGAGCCCCAGTGTGGTTTGTAAGCCGTAGCTTACTACCATACCAAAAATTACTCCGGGAGTGGAGCGGTAGCGATGCTTAAAGCACCGTGTGATAGCCAAGCTGGTTGAGCGTTGACCATAGCTGAAAATGCCAGCGNTACTATCAAGTGCAGGTGATTTGCCGCTATTTAAACTTGACAGGGTGGTTGTTGTTGTCAATTCTGTACATCGATTTGGTTATTTTCTTTATTGTATAATTTCAGGCTGGCACTTCCTAAATTTTTGTTTACTTTTACATTTGGCATTTCGCCCCTTCTTCGCGCAAATCATCGATAAAACTAGATAGGACACCGAAAAGTTATAGGCTAATTTTTGATTATTTTATAATTATAAATTAACGAGGTACGAATTTTGTATGGCTAATCTCTTTCTCTAATAACAGCTTAAGGAGTTCAGCTCGAAAGTGAGGATAATATACTCATATGTAAACCTAGTACAAGTGTTAGCCAGACCAGGTGGCAAACGGCTCCTAATATTTAGGTTAAGTTGATATCCTGTTCATTAATTCAATAATGTTTAATACTTAATACAAGAATGTTTCATTTAATTTGAAAAAAGTTTCACTGAATCTGAAAAAGGTTGCATTCAATTTGAAAAAGGTTTTATTTAATTTGGAAAACTTTCGCTTAACCCGAAAAAGGTTTCGTTTAATTTTAAAAGGCTTCGCTTAATTTAAAAATTGTTTCATTTACACTGAAAATGCTATAACGATTTTAATTAACCTGCACAACTGATGCATCGGGGTCTGAAAGGATTACATAAAGTTACTTACGTACCTCAGGAAGCCATCTAAACTCAACTGATTTTTTTGGGCGTTGAACTTGTTCGGCTCATACTCCTGTATAAGCTCCTTGGCTCTAGCTGCGTTCGCATAAGGATGTAGAATCTCATTCAAGCGTGGATCACGCTGAGTTTTGTTGAGAAATTCCACAAGTTGAGCGATACACATACATTTGCGCTTCGAATTACCAACACTGAAATTAAAATAGAAACAGAACAAGTAATTTAAAAAAATGTTTAAGACAAGTTGTTTAGCTTAGGGAGAGCGGGAGACCAGGTTTAGAGTTGTGGTCGAGTTAGAGTAGTAGAGGAGGTAGGGATTACCTTTGCGAGTGGTTATGTATCGAGCTCAATGAGCCCGTGTGGTGTATAGGTGCACATCAAGCCAACCACGCACTCCATATGCCTGCTATGCGAGAGAGAGAGAGTGAGATATGCGGGCAGGCTGTTGAAACGGTAGCGCAAGATGTGACCCTTTTACCATGTATCAATTGGGGGACTCCATTGGAGGAGTCATGCTCTAGCTGCCGTAGGCTGCTGTGCAATGAGCTGGGATTTATTCAGGGACGCATTCATGCACAGCCCCAGTGTGGCTTGTAAGCCGTAGCTTACTATCATACCAAAAATTACTCCGGGAGTGGAGTGGGAGCGATGCTTAAAGCACCGTGTGATAGCCAAGCTGATTGAGCGTTGACCATGTATTAACTGGGGGACTCCATTGGAGGAGTCATGCTCTAGCTGCCGTAGGCTGCTGTGCAATGAGCTGATATTTATTCAGGGATGCATTGATGCAGAGCCCCAGTGTGGTTTGTAAGCCGTAGCTTACTACCATACCAAAAATTACTCCGGGAGTGGAGCGGTAGCGATGCTTAAAGCACCGTGTGATAGCCAAGCTGGTTGAGCGTTGACCATAGCTGAAAATGCCAGCGACTTATCACTTCACTAAGTTCAGCGAAGAGATATTTGAGAATTGCATAAAAAATGCATACACAATTAAGAACGAGCGAATTACTTTTAAAGACAAGTGCGTGTGTTTGTTCGCTGCACTTGGTTTTGGGCGGGAATGCAATATAAATGTGTGTGGGTGTTCGCTGTTCTATGTTTATGCGGGAAATGCATAAGTCGCTTAAACACAAGTGATTAATAAAAAAATCGACTCCCGCACCACCTAAGGCCTAAATTTTTGTGGAGTTATTTCCTTCAATTTAAGTAATATACGTTCTAAATATGAAACAAGTCCGAATGTAAATAGGGGTTTTCCAAATATCTCGACTCTTTCGCCACCTATCGGGTAAATTTGTGAAGTAATTCCTCTTCATGTAGGTAATATTCATTCCAAATGTGAACAATATCGGCCCATAAATACGGGGTTTTCAAATATTTCGACATCCGCGCCACCCAACGGATTAATTCATCTTTCACATTACATTAACATCGGTTTCTCAGCCAAGTTTAAAGTTTCAAGTCTCTAGATCATCGAAAAGTTAGTTAAAAGTTTATTGACAGATTTCATTACACACAGATAAAACGTAATGAAAGCTTGTAAAAATTAAAATTTTTTATTCCAGTTGAAGTATGAAAAAATGGGTGCAGTTCCCATAGGCAATAAAACAAATTAATTTTTCATTTTTGGTTGTTGTTTGTTCTAAAATACAACAAATTACTTTTTTCACATTACGTTGGGAAAAAAGGACATATTGATTTATTTTTATGGAAAAAGTTAAACAAAGCCATAATGCACTTTGGTTTACCCTCTTTGTTAATGATGTGTTTTCTATGTCTCGTCATGTGAAATGGGGTGCAATAAAACCATACCATTTGTTTTTGAAATAAAAGCATATGTTTGTCGTTATTTCCAAAGCATAAGTGAAATAAAGTCACATTCCAATTATAGCACTGACAATCTAGCAATTGAGGCCTCGACTAGTCTGCGCTAGATGAAACTTATACCAAAATGAACAGAAAATTACCCGAAACAACATATTAAAAAGTAGGAGGTCAACATGTATCGCTAATATTGTAGATTAATGAAAAACTGATGAAATTCGAGGCTCTTCGTCTTATTTGGCGCTGTGATCGCCTGAGAAATTTTGGCCGAGTTTGTCTTCTGTCCCAACTGAAGCCAATCGGAAATTCCAAGTGAAGCCAAGTCCTTCTCTATCTGGACTTTCATCGCAATGGGGGTCTCCCTCTTCCTCTGCTACCACCAGTGGGTTCCGAGTTGAATACTTTCAGAGCTGGAGCGTCGGTGTCCATTTAAACGACATGGTCAAGCCAGCGGAGCCGCTGTATTTTAATTCGCTGCACCATGTCCATGTCTATGTAGAGCTCATACTGGTCATCGTTCCATCGTCTGCGTCACTTGCCATCGTCAATACGTAAAGGCCCGTGAATCTTCCGCAAAATTTTTCTTTGTTCTCCAAGATCCGCCTCATCGGATGTTGTCATTGTCCATTCTTCTGCGCCATATACCAGCACGGGCATGATGAGAGACTTATAGAGTGTGGTTTTCGTACGTCGAGAGATCACTTTACTCCTGAATTGCCTACTCAGTCCAAAGTAGCACCTGTTGGCAAGAGTGATTCTGCGTTGAATTTCCATGCTGACATTATTATCGGTGTTAATGCTGGTTCCCAAGTAAACGAAATTCTATACTTTCTCGAAATTATAACTGTCAGCAGTGACGTGGGTGCCAAGGCGCGAATGTGCTGACTGTTTGTTTTATGGAGGAGATACTTCGCCTTGTCCTCGTTAACCACCAGACCCATTCTCTTTGCTTCCTAATCCAATATGGAAAAGGCAGAAGGCACTTTTGTTACAGATGATGTCGATGTCAGCGGCATAAGCCAGCAATTGCACGCTCTTGTAGTAAACTGTTCCTGAGCGGTTCAGTTCTGCAGCTCTTCGTGTCCTCTTCAACACCAGATTAAAAAAGTCACATTAAATGTCTAAAACCCCGTTTGGTGTCGAACGGCTTGGAGAGGTCTTTTCCAACTTTGACGGAGCTGGTGGTATTGCTCAACTTCGTTTTTCAATATTTATTTTATAATGTTTTTTTCTGTTCGTAGGAGAGGGAAATGCTTTATGCACTGGCCGGGAGCGCTAGTCTCTATACTACCTTCCCCGAGTGTGGGACTCCAACCGAAGCGTGTGGGGCTACCCACTAAAACCCAAACTCCTACCGCCCGCGCACGAATCCCTCAAGGCTGCTCTTTTGTAGGGGCGTTTCATTCGGGCGTCCTCAGTAGACATCCGTCTTCTCATTTGCAGCGGAGTACGAATTTCACGTATCTCGCAACTGCTTCCCACTTGTCTACACTGGAGCTCATTACCCCAATTACGCTGTTCGGGGTTATGTCTCCGTATCTTTCTTCCAACATCCTGCGTGAAGACAAGAAGTGCTAGCAAGTGAAGGATGTAAGGTGTACATTATCTTGGACGTTTCTACAGTAGTGACAGAACGGTGAGTCTACTCTTCCCATTCTATGAAGATATTCTCGGAAGTAACCATGACCGGTGAAGAATTGCGCCAGGTAGAAATCTAATTCACCGTGCGGCCTTTTCAACCATGTTTGAAAGTCGGCTATTAGGGTGTGCGTCCATCGACCTTTTGTGCTCGCGTTCCAGTTTTGTTGCCATTTCTGGATTAGTTGCTCGCGTGCCCTTGCTGCGGCAGCTGCTCGGCCTATCTCGTCACTGAGATTGTAAATCTCTTTTCGCTCGTAAGCATGTAGCTCAATTGGCATGACGCCAGAAATAACTAGAACCGCGTCCGCGGACACTGTACCGTATGCAGAAGCAATGCGTAGTGCCCCTCTGCGCTAGACCGAACACATTTGAATCCGGTGTTTTTTGACTTTCAATGCGTCGACCCATATTTCTGCCACGTACAGGAGCACCGACTGGACCGCTGTCATCAGAAGCTTCCTGCGGCATGGCTTCGGGCCGCCCACGTTCGCCATCAGCCGGCTTAGAGCCACCGTGCTCTGCGCAGCTTTTTGACATACACCTTGAATGTGTTCCCAGAATGTGAGTTTGTTGTCAAGCTTCACCCCTAGGTATTTTTTAGACTTCAAAGTTGTCACGGGCTAAGGTCCGACCATCATGTTTGTAATTGTTGGGATTCGTTTCTTGGTGAGGAGCACGGTCTCTGTTTTGGCTGTAGCCAATTGCAGACCGTGATCGCTCATCCATGCACTGACGCTGTGCATTACCTGGTTCAGCTTGAGCTGCGCTAGCTGGATGTTTCTTGCTCTTATGACGGCGGCCACGTCTTCCGCGAAAGCGACAAAGAAGACGCTCTCCGGAATTTCCGTGCCCAACATACTATCATACGTGGTGTTCCACAGGTCCGGGCCAAGTACAGACCCCTGTGCCGCTCCACCGCTTGTAGCGTATGCGGAATGATATGCGGACAATTTCTAAGCACATTTAAAAAAATTCTCGTAAACACAGAAGCCGAACTAAATGTACCAAAATCTACTGTGCAATCTTAGCAAGCATTCCACTAAAAATTACCTCGTTGTATATTATAATACTGAAATAATTTCCTTGGAAGCGGACGAACTCTGAGAATTTGCTTGTAAGTTTTGTATACCGAAACTCAATGTCACGAAAAGTAACGTGCTTTTTCGTTTTTTCTCTATGAGACTTAAAAAAAACTTTATTTACAAAGAGAGAATAGGAAAACACTATAAGGAAAACGAGTGCGAAAAAACATGTTTCACAAAGCAGCGAAATCAGATCGTGACAAGTGTCATAAATTGTTTGATCTCTCTGCAAAATCGCAGCGAATAATGACAACAAAGTGCAAAATAAGCACAAAAACATTGAAGACTATGCAAGAGCCAGGGATATAGTGGAATATGTACAAACCGCTCTACCCAAGATTGTTTAAACGTTGAAAAGGAAAATTGAAAGCGGCAATTAGCGCTTTCCCAAAAAATTTGCTTGCACCACATTCACTTCAGTTTTGTACAGCGGATTAGGGAAATATTTTTCATTGGGACCCATAAAAGGACACCTAAATATAACTCTGAACCAATTATCGTCTAAATTGCTAAAAAATAACAACTCAAGTTGGTACAATAAGGTCCCAAAGTAATATTTTTGAAAAGGCCAATCGTTAAGGACTTTCTATAAAAAATGTTTCTTAGAAATTTCGACAATATCTATGTGAGTGGGAAAACAATATTTGTTGCTTCCGAAAGTATAACTGTTTCTTTTTACTGAATCAGTTCGAATTTCATTCCGCATAGGTTACGTCTTTTTATCTGGCCTTGTGTTGTGTGTTGTATAAAAGCCAACGGTCTCTGAGGTAGTCCCGAGTCATATCTAGCAAGTATGTTGGAACCCTGAATGACCGTTCTAAGGCCTCCAGCATGTCGTCCCATCTTGCCGAGTTGAAGGCGTTCTTGACGTCCAGTGTGACTAGCAGCACTATTGGCCGCGCCTGGTGGCAGGCTTCTTCGACCTTGTGTACCGCCTTGACTACTTCGCCAATTGCTCCCATAGTTGAGTGTCCCTTCCTGAAGCCATGTTGTCGGGGTGAAAGGCCTCCCTCGCTTTCTATGGCTGACGTCAAGCGTATTTTGAGCAGACTCTNTGAGTGTCCCTTCCTGAAGCCATGTTGTCGGGGTGAAAGGCCTCCCTCGCTTTCTATGGGTGACGTCAAGCGTATTTTGAGCAGACTCTTCATCATTTTGCCTGCTGTGTCTAGCATACAGAGTGGCCGGAAGGATGAAGGAGAGTTGGGGTCATTGAGTATATGTACCAGTCTCGCCTTCTTCCATTGGTTTGGGAAGATCCGGGCCCTAAGGCAGCTATTGTGCATATTAAGCAAAAGGTCAGGGCTCATTTTCGCTACTAAACTTATTGCCACCGAGGCCCGGAGGCTTGCCGGTTTTCATGCTTCGTGGGGGTTTGTTTGGGGCATACCCCATTCCACGCCTCTTGCGTTGAAATCTCCGGCAAAAATTATGGTGCCGATTATATCGCGTAATTCGTCTTCAAGGCCTTCGAGCTGTTCTCCTGAAGACAAGGACTGTGTCGTTTGGAGACAGCTAGCAGCTCACCAGATTGATTTGTCCCATTTTCACCCAAACGTAGCATCGCTCGACCCCGCTGCTCTCTGCGCGATGGTTGGAATTAGCGAACCATATCGCGGCCGAGCCTGATTGGTCAACATGCCACGTTTCCTTTGTTCTATAGGGTTCACCGATGATGACAGCGTCTGCACTTTGTTCAAGAACCAATTGGTCCAGCAGGTCATCAGCTACCCTACTCCTGTTCATATTGCCTCGTATAAATTGAATCATATTCTCCCAAGCTTTGTCTTAGCCTCAGTAAGGGCATCCTTGAAGGCCTTTCACGCTCCCAATAGGTGATTGGCATTTTTCTGTCAATCTCCTAGAGAGCACAAGTAGCAGCTTGGGCTTTCTTTAAATGCAGAGGCTATGTGGCCCTGCTGACCACATTTCCAACATGAACTGCTTCTGTCTGGGCCTTTGTATGCTGCCTTTTTGTGGCCATAACCCAGACAACGGAAACACCTTTGGACATCCGCGTGCTGTCGGACACGGCAGATAATCCACCCTACTCGCCGCTTCCCCTTTTCAACAAGAGTCCGGCCTGGCAGTTCGTCGATTTCTACCACGCCCATTCTTTGTTCTCGCTAGTTTACAGCGAGGAGAGAGACGCGAAGTTGGCCATTCATCTTGTCTCCTAATTTCCCGCGTATAGCGTTCTCCACTTCTGGGCCCGTGGTTAAGCAGTCCATGCCCAGAACTTCTAGACGTAAACGTCTAGTGAGAATACGGGCGTCTCCAAGCTGGCCAATGGCAGTGCACACATTTTCCTTAAATGCTGAGTGGTTGCCACAGTGCTCCTTTTCTATGAGCACGCCGCCTTCGCGGGTTTTCCGAACAGATCGAAAAACGGTCTCCGTCTTCTCAGGTTGGAGCTTACCACGTATGGTTCCCAGCACCTCTGCATAGGTTTTACCTTCAGCTGGCTTAATGATTAGTTTGGCGAGACTCTTCTTTTTTCTCACCCTCTTCTTATTTTGCGGCTGGTCGCCTCGCCCTTATTGACCAAGGGTTCACTTGGCGCTGGCCCTGGCTTGGGCTTTCTGCTTTTTCCAACCGTTTTCCATTGATTATCTGGTACGGTTTTCAGAGCATTGTTATTATTATTACCATTATTGTTATTAGGATTATTAATAATAATATTTTTACTACTATTATTATTTTTATTAGTAGTAATTTTTTTCTTTTCCGGCTCGCCTGTAGGGGAGTCGGACCGAGTTTAAGCTCTCTTTTGCGAGCCAGGGCAGGATTTCTGCAGCTCGGAAAGGGTAGACCCCTTCCGGTGCTGCTCTCGGAGGTAGCTTAGTATATTTAGGCTCTCCTCGATTTGGGCCATACCCGTTTTTATGTCCATGGACACATTTATCTGCTTGGAGACAGCACTCTGCATCGTCTTCAAGACGAGCCGAATCTGGGCCAATTGCTCATCTTCATTGCCTTCGCAAGTTCCCAAGCTTGCGGTGGCATGCTTGTCCCTGTTTGCAGCAGCTGGCGTTTGATGATCACCATCCCGGCTGCCGGGAGTTGTCGTTTGCAAAGGTGTACCCTTCTGCACCACGTTGACGGCTTTCTCCCTGCTCGTGGTGCAGGCTTTTGTCTGCAGAGGAGTTTGTGGCAGGGAGCGCATAACTCTACAGCTCTTTCTAAATGCGCTGCATTCTTTCTCGGGAACATCTACATCTATTACATTTGTTTTTGTTGTTTGTTTAATCATTTCAGTTCTATTGGGTCTCCGCTTCAAGCCGCTATCTCCACACGTAGCACAGTCGCTTTTAAGTGTCCCGAAGTTCCCTTCTCTCAAAGGAGCAGGCCATCGCGAGGGTTGACACAAGTCCTTATGGGATATTGTGTTCAGAGCCAAGACAGCGCAAAACCAGGAGTAAATCTCAACTGGACCTGTGCGGCNACGCAAAACTAGGAGTAAATCTCAACTAGGAGTAAATCTCAACTAGGAGTAAATCTCAACTGGACCTGTGCGGCCAACTAAATGGCGACGTGTATTGAACGTACTTGAAGACCTGCCAGGGTTTTAACGAGACGGAGGCGATCGCAGCATTAGCCCACCAGCCATTTCTGTGAGGTGTCACCCTCACATACTAAAGTGGCGGNGTGCAGAGCCAAGACAACGCAAAACTAGGAGTAAATCTCAACTAGGAGTAAATCTCAACTAGGAGTAAATCTCAACTGGACCTGTGCGGCCAACTAAATGGCGACGTGTATTGAACGTACTTGAAGACCTGCCAGGGTTTTAACGAGACGGAGGCGATGGCAGCATTAGCCCACCAGCCTTTTCTGTGAGGTGTCACCCTCACGTATTAAAGTGGTGGAATACTGCTCTCGCCAGCCCAATGTCGAATTATTATTATTATTATTATTATTATTAATATTATTATTATTATTATTATTATTATTAGTATTAGTATTAGTATTATTATATTTTTTTTCTTAGCTCTGCAATTCGGTCATTCTACCAGTACACCTGAGAAGTCCAGCAAGCAGAGAAGTGTCAAGTTGCCGTTGTCAAAATTAATTCTAATGTAATGCAGTATTTTGATCTGAAACCAGATTGCAGTGGAGAGAGTAGACTATTTTCTTGCACAAATGCTGAAATTTGCGCAGCCGTTAAGTATAATAGGTCTATAGTCACTAGCATATATAGCATTCGTCTTCTTCACAACTGGTATAATTATAGCCTTTTTCCAAACTGCTGGAAAGCATGAGCTAATAAAACAACGATTTATTATGTTAGTTAGGGGCATATCATATATTCAATTACTATTTGGACGAATTTCAGCGAAATCTTATCCTCCCCTATAGCATTAGACTTAATTTTTGACAGAGTCTTCATGACATCAACCTCATTCACTGCCATAAATTGAAACTCATGTTTTGGACTAGCACAAGATATGAAAGCTTTTAGCGCGTTGGCACGATTGGATTTGTTATTAGCGTCAATAAAATAGTCCTTAAGATCATCAACATCAATCTCACCCTCGGGTATTTCTTTGCCATGTATTTTAAACTGCTTTAGATTGCGCCACAGCTGCTTGGACGGAAGTAAAGGATCAAGTTTTGAGTAACTGTACCAACGCTTAGCTTGCCTTCTTATAGAAGTAGTTTCATTTCGGATTTTCTTGTTCCGATTCCAAGAAGTATCCGTAAAATATTTTCTCCACTTGGCATAAAACTTATTGCGTTTCCTGATGGCAGAACGAACTATCGAATTGTACCAGGGACACGAACTATTTACAACATTTACAGAACACAGTGGGACATGCACATTCAATAACATGGAAAAGTTATTGTTGAGGAAATCAAGTTTATCATCAACAGTTGGAAGAAACCAACATTCATCCCAATTTATGTTAATCAAGTCTGAATACAAAGAGTTTACATTTACCGATTAAATATCACGATACACAAAGGTAGCACCTACACCTGGACGATTCATCACAACATATAGAGTACAAAAAATTAAATCATAGTCGGAAATAAAATTTACTTCGTCAAATTTAAGAAAATATAAAATGCCACAGATTATAAAATAATCAAGAAGACTAGCTGTGGAGTTATTAGCATACCTCGTTGGTGTAATTCGATCAACAACACAGAGCCCTGCTGGTGCCAACTGGCCCTGTAACTTACTACTACTTGAATCAATAAATAATAGATTTATATTTAAATCACCACAAATCAGAATACGCTCTTAATCTAACATAAATTCAGACAGGTCAACAAATAATACATCTAGAGCGATGCCTTTATTAGGATTATAAACACATGCAATTAAGATTTTTTTCACGCCATCAGATACTTCAGTGAAGATGTATTCAGTTTCACAGTGATTTGATTTTGCCAGAAATTTAAATTCCAGGCTTTTTTTTAATGTTTTTATTGAACTTTGTGCCACGATTATTTTTTTAGGAACAATAGTTTTTCATTAAAAACGGCCTCAAGCTCAATAAAATTTGTTGAATATAACTGTTATAAGGCCATAAAATAACAAAAAAAAACAACGAATAACTTAAGGACGAGCACACCTAAAAGTTAAACATTCTAAAAACAGAATTATTAGCAAAAACCAACAACCACATGATCAAGTTTGCACTGGATTAGCTACGCTTTAGTGTAGTTGGCTCACATGAAAAAAGTTGAAAAAGCTACAACAGTTTATAAGGCGAACTTAGGACAGTGCGTAGACAACTGGCTGAGTCAGCTGGGGTCGTTGGTTTGAATCCGGCTAAAGAAGTCTGATGAGGAAATGTGGTGATTTCCGAAAGGGCTATCACTTCTACCATTTTTTCAAATTGTTGATTTTCCACAATAGTTTTTAATTAAAAACGGCGTCGAGCTCAATAAAAAAAATTGTTGGAGAAAAATGAAAAAAGCAACAAGTCACCACATCTCCTCATCAGACTTCTTTTTTCTAGACTTTCAGCCGAGATCGAACCCGCGTCATCGATGTGCAAAGTCAGAAGCGTTAACCACTGAGTCATGCACACCCCGTAAACTCGTGTTACTAATTCATTTTCCTTATTCAACCTACTGCTATCAAGTGCAGCTGATTTTCCGCTATTTAAACTTTACAGGTTGTTTTACAGTACACTGCAACCCAAACTGCATTGCAAGGGGCATTGACTCACGGTTGTTTTTAGTGAGGCTCTCATGTATGTGTAACATCCCATCTGATTTGAGTCAAACATCAGTGAGTAATAGTGGCCGTTTTTTTACTTTACAAAAGCGAGCCACTGACTTAAAGAGTCTGGAACGATCAACAGAACATGCTAACTTGGCAATTACTGGAGCAGCAGAATTGTTTTGAATACGAACTCGAAAGGTGCCGCGAGCTTGGAGCGCAGATATATCCAAAGCTTGTCACAGGCTGTCAAAGGTGTTTTCAATATTCTCACCACCCATGTATGACAGACTGTTGATGATGAGATCGGTGGAGACGGCTTGGTTTTGGCACTCATTAAGCTCAGCCTTAAGCAGCTGCACACTGCCCAATTTGGACTTCTGCTTTCCCCACTCGCTCTTCCAATTTTCTCATCGCCCTCCTCAGATTCGCCAGCTCAGCCGCTATCTTGCCAAACTAGTTCATCATTCGCTCTTCAGAAGTTTTAACTCGTTCCGTGATTTCGCCAACAACACTACTTCTCTGCAATTCGAGTTGTTCTTCAACACGTTCAAGCCAGGAAGCAGGTGGCGAGCTCTCTTTTTTCTCAGTTTTACCAAGACTGCTCAAACTGCTATGCGAAGTAGATACCGTTTGGCGTGTGCTTTTACCTCTTCTTGACATTTTATTTTATTTCCAATTAAATTAGAATTTTGATTGAATTCTACGCACACACAAAATAATGGGGTCAAATTTATTTACTCGGCAACGGATGTAAAGAGAGGTAGATCAGACCCGAATTCACCACGAATACAAGTAGACTGGCGACAACTTGAAATAAATAAAAAATAACGGCAGCGCTCCAAAAACACGTATACTCAGCTTGATACATATTATTACATATTTTTCACAGCCGTATCAGTTTGGCAGGGATACCAAATTCAGACATAGGGGCATGTAGACAAAACCTTTTAAAGTCGACAAATGGGTGCTGAGTGTCGATCCCTTTCTCGCGGGTTTCTTCCAAGATTCAAGTTTTGGCGTTTTGGTCTGTGGTGGATTTGCCAGGTCTAAAGCCACACTGATAAGGCACAATCAGTTCAATGATGGTAGGCTTTAGTCTTTCACACAACACGCTCGATAAGACCTTGTAACCTATGCTTAGAATGTTGATATGACTAGCTTCCTTCTTCAGTTCCCTATAGCGGTCCCACATAGCGTGCGTAGAGCGCGATCGCAGCGTGGCCCTGTAAGCGGCATCTTTTTCTCTGCAGCTTCCTGACACTCCTCATCGTACCAGTTGGTCTTCCGGGCTCGCTAAAATCCAACTACGTCTTCGGCTGCGGTACTTAATGATCGGGAAATGTGGTTCCACTACTCGCATATGTCGGTTGGTTGAAAGTGCTCTCTGAGAGCCCATGTGAGAGCCGACTAGCGAATGCATTGGCTGTCTGTTGTGATTGTAGCTTTTCGACGTTAAGCTTTCCTAGCATTTTTGGGCGCACATTTTTTTTCTGCGCAGAATCGGGAGCGTATATTAGCTACAACAAGATAGTCGTCCGAGTCGATATTTGGGCGTCGGAGTGTACGTACGTCTAAAACACTAGAAGCGCGCCTTCCGACTATCACAACATGATCGGTTTGGACTCCCGTTTTTCGACCCGGGCCAGCCACGTAGCTTGATGGATCATTTTATGCTTGAACCTAGTACTACATGGAACCATGTTTCGGGCGAAATATGTGTTTATATAGCAGGCCGCCTGATCTTAGACAGACACCCGCTTGCAGCCGCACCTTCTGGCGAACAATCGCTGCATACTTCGGTGAGCCCTTAAACCGAATAAGTCGGAGTGGCTCCACCGAAGCTCCCTCCCTGACCCAAGGCACCATTCGGATTGGTTACCGCATCTCGCACATGGGTTGCTCACGTTGTCCAGAGTGCGCGAACGAGGACGCAAGAGTCGGGGCTGAGTATAGCCGTGCAACTGTAACTGCATACCCAGCACAACGACTATACCCCGTTGCACTCCATATCACAAAGTAACGAAACTAAATATCTTGGAATGCACCTTGATAGAAGATTAACCTGCAGAGCTGACGTCTTTACTAAGCGTACAGCAATCGGCCCAAAGCTAAGAAACTTACATTGGCTTATAAACCGTAACTCCCTGCGATAAACTGACAACAAACTTCTGCTGTACTCTACCGTCATAAAACCGATTTGGACCTACGGTATTCAGCTATGGGGCACAGATGCGTGATTTTAAAGGTGTTTTTATTTAATAAGTTGTGATTAATTGGTTAAAGTTAAAGTAATTAAGAAAGTTATAACTAATAGAAATAAAAATTTATCGAAGTGGCTGCTTTAAGGAGAATAGGAGTGATAAATGTACGCTAATTTCCGATTTTTACAAAAAAGGCATATTTCAAACCTAATTTCTAAATAAATTAGTGGCCAAAAATTACAAAAGTAGGCGTTAAAATAATGTGTAGACCCTTGACTACAAGCGTGTTTTTTTGGATCGGGTCACCCCTTTGGACGCAATACCCCGAAATAGTTGGCCCACCTACTAAACAGTACCCGAAAATAGATAAACAAGCATATTTATTAGTAACAATATGGTTATGGTTTTCAACTAAAAATAAAATGTGCTTTCTTTCGGGTTCTACTGAACTAATCGAAATACCTCTTTCGGACAAGATTCATGATTTTTGACTGGCTATAATATACTGTCATTAGGGCGGCACGCTGGGGTGGTAGCAACTGAGATCTGGTGGGTAAGTACCACAATGGAGCACATGACGTCATTGAGCTTCCGTAGAAAAAAGCCCCTCCGCGAGGCAAAAATATTGGTGTATCACACTTTAAAATCCGACTATAAATGCCGAAGATATAAAGAAAAATGTAATTGGGTGACTACTAGGGTTGTTCAAAAAAAAAATTTATTTTTTTTGTAAATGCTTTTCAAAAACACATCATATGAGGAGGTGTGCGGCTAACTTTTCTTTTTTTTGCCTGTAAGGCGAGGCGCTAAAGTATACTCCACGCGTACACTTTTCAGTATATGGTGTATCTGCATGTTATTTTATTACTAGTGAACCCGCAAGGCGCCAAAGCGCCAACATTGAAATAAATTTTTTAAACAGGTGAAACCTATTCAAAAACCTCGAAAAATATTCCTAATGATTAATCTAACCATTTCTGAGTGATGAGAGGTCTCGCATGGTGTTGGTTTTCATGTAACTTCAAAAAGTAAAACCTGTGCACATCTATGTAGAATCCTAGTTCTTTAATTTGACTTCTCATTTTGGAAATTCGAAATAACGTTGCAGATGTGATGACCTTCAAAAAAAAATAATAATAGATGACAATTCTAATTAAAAATATTATCAGCCTATAGTTTCCTTAAAACTCTTTCGTTTGACACTAATATTTCGATAATTCATTTATGTATCTTTCGTATAAGTAAAACAAATTTGAATTTTCAAACAGGTGGCAACCTCTTTAAAAGTATTTTGAAACTAAAATCTTTCGCCTGGCATTTACATATTCCAAT